TACGAATTCCCGATCTCACGTAATTATTAGCGTATAATTATTAGCGTATAAGCGTATTATTAGCGAATTATTAGCGTAAAATTCGTACGAATTCCCGTGAGATCGGGTTGAAACGGCAGTTTTTCCCCTCTGACTAGCATAAATGAGCACAAATTCATATTTTCCATTGCGACGTTCTCTCTGTATTTACGATTCTTCACAGCCTTTAACCACTGGCTACAACATGCAAGATCGTTCACTGGAAACTGAAAGTAGCTCACTAACGCTAAATGTTTACTCTTTGAATTTTTGCACCTGGGAATAATACAAGTCGACACCATTATGACAACCTTTGCCTTCCTACTAAAGCAAGGTAGAATTTGATTTCATCCACAGCAGACTGGTGGAGTGGCCTTGTGCATTATGGGTGTTGAAGTTTTCCTATTTGCATAAGGGAGGACAACAGCCTTTTCTCTGATTAGGTAGCACCAATATCATTTTTTTTTCACCGTTTTACTGTATAGGCAGCCAAGTTTTATCGAAAGCCCATTTTTGCCAGCAGTGAAGTACCCCTTTAAAAACGAGCTGATGTGGATTTTTATTTATTGATTGATTTCATCTCACAGTCTTTAACAAAGTGTGTTAAACATGTAATTTTGAATATCATTCTTTTTGAATGAAATTTAGAGCAGGGATGATGTTTCGCACTTTAGAATTTAGAGTTTCTATAAAACATTTAAAAATAATAATAAGAATCACTCACCTTCACGCCGTTCCCAACATGTAGGATTTACTTTATTCTATGGAACATGAAAGAAAACATGTGTTAGAATGTTTCAGCCAAGTATGGAAGTACGCACTTTCAATATATGGATGAAAATACTTTTCCAAACAGTTTACAGTTACTCAATATCAATTAATTGTTACAAAGATGGCGGATTTGAATTCATGGCAGCATAACATTTTACTTAAATAAATTTAACTCAATAAAGCCATGCAAACTGTTGCAGTCATTCCAAAGCCACATTTTTACACTGACTGATGCTCTCTCTCTCTCCTCCAAAACGAAGAGATTAGTGTGAATAAATAGTGGAGAAAAGGGACTCAGGTGCATGTGGTTTGGGTGATCTCACCCCGTCACACATGAGCACACATGACAAAAGTGCCCGAGTGCTGGCAGGCCATCAGACCTCTTTGTCTTGTGTGTGTGGGAGTGTGTGTTTATGAGACTTTCCAGGCCATGCCAAGTTAAGGAGGTTCGGGCCAACACTTCCTGACAAGAGGAGATCAGCATGAAGAGAAGAGAGTAGATCGGTCTTATTCTGATCTTGCTGCCTTCCAAAGCATCCACATGGTCTGTTCTGTCAGGACCATTTCAGTGACTGCAAACAGGCTTTTATTTTTAATTGTGTTGTCAACAGGATATTAAATTACTTAAGACTGAATGTCGTAGCTTCTGAACCAGAAACAATCTTTTTTTTATATATATAAAGCTGAGCAAATTTGATTTACACACACTATGAAACCAGTTAAATAATGTTAGAATTAACCTCTTATTTACTTTCAAATCTTTTTTAATAAGTTTCTCTGACTTAATTGACCATTGCCACAAAATAAGCTAGCATTTTTCAGAAATACGACTGATATTTTTTCTAACCTCACTGTTTCTGTTTGAGATCAGTGACCCTTGAAAAAAAATGAAAGAAATTAAAAACAAAATTATAAAAAAAAAAAAAAATCAAAATTACTAATTTAAAATAAATACAATAATATTTTACTTATTTAATAAAAATATTTATTGTTTATTAATTGTATTTTGATACAAACCATTTTATTATTGTTTTGATTTTAAGTAATAAAGTTGAGATCGGGTTTATAATTCGCCCTCATAAACATTAAGTATGTTTTGCGAGACATTAAAAGGGTCTTGGGGTCTCCAAACAGAACATGAGGGTCAATGCATCATGACCTAAAAAAGAGTCCACAGAGAGTGATGTAGCCACAATCACACTGTGCAAAATTGTCCATAATGATCACACAACAGGAAGTAGTGGTCTGATCCACCGGCCCAGCTGTCATACAGCTTTAACCCAAGCCAGTCATGTCAAATCTCCCAGCGACCCCAGGAATCCACGTAATGAAGTTATTATACATCAACACGGTTTCACACCCGCATCTGCGTACGCACGCACACACACCAATACAGATGCGCGAAATCACACGACGTATCCTCGCAGGGGTGAGGCTCGAGTTGAAACGCTAAACTAGGGCCGCCCGAAAAAAAGCGGACCTGCGAGCCAGGCGGAGTGCTGCACTTTTGATAGACGCTGTGTAGTTGTCAGCCTCTTTGATGTCCTCGGATTGATCTGGCAAGAGCTGGGGGCTCTTTGTTTCTCTCGGCGTCCCCGCGAGCTGTCTGATCCCACAATGCAGTGCGACACCGAATCTCTGGGGTTACCATCATCTGGGCAGGCTGGGCGGCTCGCAAGAGAGAGCCTCGCTGGATTTCTCCCACGTGAGCCGGCTCTCCAGATGGCCTCAAAGAGTCGAGCGAACGGCTCAGCCAACATTTCAGCCCCAACACGCACAAAAAGGAAGCAAATGCACTCTAAATATTTTATAGATATTCCACATTCCCTCATTGAAGGAATGACAGACATTGCATATCATAAAGCGGAATAAAAGAGAGATTTTGATGAAAGATTAATCACATCTTTTGCCGTGATTTTCAACACTAGCGCTGTTTACTCGCTCCTGATGAGTGGAGAGCACCCAGAGAGTGTAGGGAGATGAAAGAAGCACCTTGGTTGATTGTTGGAGAGCGCCTTTGGACGGCAATCTGAGAACGAGATCAAATAGTTGCGCATAGCTTGATTTAATGACTTTTGTGACCGTTGGAAAAGGGCCTCGTGAGATACGGTCGTTTTCTCGGGAATCCGGGTTCTCGGCCGGGAGGAAATCACGAGCGGCTCTGGGTGTGTCTTTCGACGCGTCCAAAGGTATGTCGCCGGCACCGTGACTCATCTCCTCTGGTGAAACAAACGGAAGAGGTTTCATTCGCAGTCTCGCGATTGGCCTTTTCCGCATCTGATATTTCAGCCGCACGTCAATAGTGGCACCGATGCTCAAAGTAATTGGTGCTTAATTTGTACATAAACAGCAGAGGCAGTTTCCATCACAGCCTGTGTCTTTAGAAATCATTAATCTCTAATTAGGGCCAGTTGGGACCAGCAGTTAGAAGGTTAAAGAGGTTCTGACAGCCCTAATCATTGCTCAGGAAGCTGAAAATATATGCAAAGTCTCAGCAGATGGGGCGAGATCAGCCTCTGCCAAGTGATAACTGTTATTCCTTTGCACCTCCAAAGCTGTCATCCTAATAGGCACATTTTGAATTTATTAATGCTCTAGTTACAGTGTCTGCACAGTCTCTAATGGTATGTCAGCCGGAGAGTGTAAACCAAACGATTAACTCGTATTACCTGGTAATGATAGAAATGTTTGTCATGATTACACTCCCCTCACACGAATTAGCGCAAGAACGCTCAGACCAAGAGGGAGACCCCCGAACAGCTCTTGAGCCAAATTTGCATCTTGCTTCTTGTTTTTCCCCCCCTCTTCCCTTCATCTGTTTGTTGCGACATTCTGTTACATTCTTATTTATTTTTAACCCGTTCTTTTCCGACAAGAGAAGAACAGCTTGGTGCTAAGTGACAGAACGCTCCGGGCAAAAGAGACCCCGACAAATTAGCGCGCGCACATTCTCCGTCTGCTACAACATCTGATCGTAGACCGCACTCTCTTTCAAATGTAGCTAAGATTTTAACATCTAGTATCAGTTTAATATCTAGTATTAATATCTCCCACAGATGTAAAATGAACAATTAACTGGGCAACTAGGAAGAAACAAGCCACTCTTTTCTCCATCAAACAGGTGGCAATGAGCAATGAAAAATGCGCTAGTTGCACTTAGCATCAGTGCTATCGTTTAGACAACAGCGATACGCGTAGAATACTTTTGATTAGCAAAGTGGCACAGATGTAGAAAAAGGAAAGTGCTGGTGGAGTAAAAACAGGTTTTTATCCCCAGATCGTTTAAAAAAAAAAAAACTAAAATAAATAAATAAAAACAACAACAACAACAAAACATGATTAGATGAGCTAGACTAACTGGTGAGAATAATTGGCATGCTAGTAAGCAGAGTGCATGCAGTGGTAATTATACACTGCAGTTCTCCGTCCACAGAGCAGGTACATTAACTGGCTAGCGGAAAGAGCAAATTACACTGAAAGCTTTCCTCACCTCAGCCAGTGAGGCTTTGAGATAATAACTTCGCTAAAATATATTCCACTCACAAATACTGCCCTCCTTTCATTCACAGTACTGGATGCTGTCTCTAATGAAGTGTATTCATGATGGACAAACATGTAGCATATTCAGCATATCATTTTCATTTCGATTTACATAGATGTTAGAATCTTTTGCAAGACATTACCTGAAGAAATAATTGTTGGAGTTACAATTTTACACAACAAAGAGAACACTTAAAATGAAAAAAGTCTAACAAAAGTGTGTTAAGTAACTATTTATTTTTAATTTATTCTTTCTTTTATTTCTAGGCGTCACCAATGGTAGTAGTTGGCCGAAACAAGATAAAACATGACCAAATGCATAACATTATTCTTACAGATTTAATGACAGTGTATTCAAATTGTACTTTGTTGTATTAAAGTGAAATGACAGTGATAATGCATTTTGTTAGAGCAATTTTTATGCGAATCTAAGGACGTATAATTACCTCAAATTAAAATACTAAAAGAGCAAAGTTAGTTAAAACATTTCAGCGTTGACTTGACAAACATTTAAATTTGTATTTTAATTTAGGTTATATATTTTATATGTAAAATGAATCAACTTTTGTGGACCAGGGTGGAAAAACATTCATTTCCCAGTGTTGAATTCTCTGAATTGCCATTTAGTAAAATATTTTTCGTGTCACTAATTCAACTTCCTGTTGGGTGGGGCCAATTCCATTGATATTCCAATTTATAAATTGAAAAGGAGGCAATTCTTCAATTTTGAACAGTGCGGCTTGATTACCGACCAAATTTAAATTCTGCCACAGTGTGTTTTTTACCCAAAATGATACTTAAACGTAATTGTAAAAGACACCCAATAAATGACTATATAAGTTGCATTCAAAAAAACATCCAAAATGCTTTTGATTTCCAAGGCAAATGTGTCCGTTTTGTAACAGCACACCTGAAGGGTCTTCCTCCTGTTGGTGAGCTCTGAATCTCTCGACCCCTCGTGGGAGGGAGGGCAGGATGAGAAAAGATCTGTAGCTCAGATGAAAGAAGAAGTCTTCTAAAAAGCTCATGTTACATGCCATCACAATAACAAGGAGCTACTGTTTCCCTCCTTCACTTCTTGCGCATTGTCTTGCATTTTGACACCTCTATTGACGATTGAGATAGGATGTGTCCCGTCACAATAGGGTCTATGCTGAAAACGTTGATTATCTTTATTTGAAATCTTGCGTCATGTTACTGTACAGTCCTCGCACGGCTCCTCCGGACGGGCTTGCCCTCGACCCTGACACGCCGGTGACTTTCTCACTCTCTCCACAATGATTAAGAGAACAAAGTCTCACATTATCAGCGCTCAGAGTCTCTGTCACTGAAGGCTTTCACCCGTTTTAATACTTCTGCACGAAGAAACCAAAGTCGACGGCCTTGTCTTCCACTCAACTTGAATGGCCTTTGTTTGGTGGGCTGGTTTTTTGTGCATGTCCGTCAACCT